GTCTCCGTTATCCCTACGAGATTGTAATCATTACTGTTTAAGAGTAGGACCAGCTCCTCCTGTTTGTTACCCAGGCTCCTGGCATTTGTGTAAAGGCGAGTGAGCTTGCCATTGGCAGCCCTAGGTTTCCCTGTACTCCTGGAAGAGCCCCGCCCCTGGGGTGGGGTAGGAGTTTGTTTCCTTGTACAGCCTGACCTGATGGTTTGGTGCCTGATGTTTGGTGGGCTTGCACCAGAGACTATCTGCCCTTCCCCCAGTGAACTTAGTTTAAACCCCGGTCAAGCAGGTCAGCCATTCTGGCTGAGAAGAGCTTCTTCCCCATGCGAGTGAGGTGGAGGCCGTCTCTTCCCAACAACTCGCTGGCTCTCTCTCTGAAGTGAAGGCTGTGGTTGTAGAAGCCGAAGCCTTCTCAATGACACCAGCACCGCAGTCTTCTGTTTACTTCCTGAATTCTTCTCATGCTCCTATGCCCATGACCTGTAATGGGAAGGATTGAGGAGAAAACCACCTGTGCCCCCAACCCGTTGAGCCCCGCTCCTGAAGTCCTGTAGTCAGTCACGACCCAGCTGGGATCGTTTTGAGCCACGTCATTTGTGCCCACATGGATAAGAAGCATGGGGTAGTGGTCAGAGGCCAGATAAGTTTTGGGATCCTCTCAGCCACATCCTGGATATGGGCCCGGGGGAGGCAGCAGACCTCATGGGCTAAGGGGTCAGGGCAGCAGATAGCTCCCTCAGTCCCTCGCAAGAGGGAGTCTCCCACAACAACCTCTCTGCATTTCTTCCTAGAGGTGGCTGCAGGATGCTTTTCTTCTTCGGGTGTAGCAGCTGACGGTTCTGCTGGCTCATCTGGCACTGAGAGGCTTTCATACCTGTTGTGAAGGTCCAGGGGAGTGATGACCCTGGTGCAGTGTGCCTTGGGGCCGGAGACAACCATCGTCCAGGCGATCCCTGGCTCTTCTGTCTTCTGGTGAAGGGCCTGGCAGTAGGAGTCAATCTCCTCATCGCCATCCCTGATGGCACACCGTCTCTGCACCGCAGCCTGGAGCTCCCCTATTTGGTACTCCAGGGTCTCCAATGTGGAGCAAACCACACAAGGGGAGGCGGGAATGCTCCTGATCCCAGGTGCCTACAAGCATTACAGGCATTACATTCTGCTGCAGTCTAAATTGCTCATGTGAACCTCACTGAGATGAAGTCTGGCATGCAAAGTGGCAGTCAGATGCATGTTTTTCTCTTAAACATTGTTCAAATCGATTATTTGATAGTATTAAGCCCTAAAAAAAATAGCAGCCATGTGGTTTTAAACACTTTTTAAACCAGTTTAGCTTTAAAACACTACAACATTTTGCAGCACATCATGGGCGAGGTCTTGGTCCATAATGTAAACCAGTGCTTTTAAAGATCAGCTGATGCCTGCCTGAGAACAAGAAAAGAAAGAAGCATTCTCCTGAAAAGCAGTATGCACCTCTCTCCATTTTCTGTTTTGAACTTCCTCTGTTTACATGATCATCATTTCCACAGTGACCAACTCTGACGTAACACACAGAAGAGTATGACTTCATGAGGAAAAAAAGACAGCAAGAACAAGACACAAGGAATAGCTTCACTGGCACATATATGATTTTGAAAAGAGGGTTGCAAATGTTGTGATTGCAAATCGCATATAACACAACACACATTTTTCTCCAGGTAAAAAGAAACTAGAAGCTTTACTAATATGCTAGGGGTTGAGGGCTATATTATTCAGTTCAAGATCAAAGCAAAAAACAAATAAAACTTTATTGGAATGTGCATTCATTTGCTATATCATATATAATGTATAACAACAAAACAAACTAGGCAAAAAATAACCGGAAGATTATGTTTCTTCAGTCCTGTTGTCATTAGAATTAAATGTACATCTCTTTTAGTACCATAAAACAAAACCTAGCCTTCTTGAGAATCATGACAGTGCATCCAATGCTTCAATGAAAGTTACTTCCACATCTGAGGAGATGTTTACCCAAGTTTGTTTCCATACCTGAATTAATGTTTTTAGCTAGAGTTAAAAACAGTCTGTGGGGCTGGAAAATAGGAGCTATATTAGGAGGAGCAGCTAATGGAGAGCAGAACTGCAAAAGAAAAGCTAACTCGATTAGTGGACCAATTAAAGGTCACTAACAGAGAGGGTCATTAACACCTGTGGAATGAAGAGTTTAGACAGACTCAGGTAGATTATACTGAGCCATTAAGTTACTCCCTCACTGCTACCTGAATACAAATATGACTGCCACTGTTTTGGGTGGAACAGGAATCAAAGCGGGGTGTGATTGCACTGCTGCACCCCCCCCCCTCCACCGACCTGCTCCCGGATAGCTTTTTGTGGAAAGATCACCTATAAAAAAAAACAAAAAAAAACACACCAGACAAAAAACAGAATAGACTCGAAAGACCATTCAAAATTTTTCATTGAGTATATAGCAGGTCATAACATAAGATATTTAAGTTTGAAAATGAGAAGAAATGACCTAGCATACTAGAGCAGTGGGGTTAAAACTGCACATAACAAACATAACTATCTAACTTTTATACTACTCATCTCCCTCTATCCCCAGCTGCCTAAAGGACTGACAAATCCAATATTAATAGGATTGTCACACTGCGTCCACATAAACCAAAGCCACAATACAATGTTGGTTAACACTCCAGCTGACACCTACATTAAAGTGAAGTAATAACAAATGTGCAGATGGAGAAGACTAGCATGGCATCACAGGGAGGTGGGGCAGGGAAAAGAGATCTCCAATAGCTCTTCTTAAATCTCTAATGTCTGTACTTTCATGATGCTGATCTACATATCAGAATGACCTCTGTGGATGTCAGGGTTTTTTTTTTGCTAAATCGCATGAAGGCCATGTGTTATAATACCACAACTGGTTGAATTCTCAGTAGTCATCCTTAATGCAAGTAATAGTATTTGCTGGCTTATCTGTTTGCAAGGCAAATAACTGAATTTACATGCACAGATAGAGTAACTGAACCCTTAAGCTCAGGGGTGTTAAACACAGCCTGCAGGCTACATCTGGCCTGCAAAGCACTACCATCTGGGCCCCTGGGTCTGTGGGGGGCCAGATGAGTGCAACACCCCTGCTTTAGTTGATACATGCAAATATCAATGTGCATGGATGTTTCTGGGATAAAAACTCCTCATTACTTACTGAAATTAAAGAGTGCGATGAAAATCTGGCAAGTCACGCCTAGAGATTTTAGTTAGGAAAAAACCAAAGTTGTAATTTTCTCCCATTTTGGTTTATCCCATTGTATTTAGGTGCTGCAGAATGTTTAGAGCTCTGATCTTTCACGCATAAAAGTACTTACTACTATTCCTTCATACAGTCAGGTGAGCCAAGAAACTAACTTGCAATTTAAAGCATGATCTTGTGTTAACATTTTTTTTGTGCATAATGTTTGCACTAACAAGTTGGTATAGAATAGAGATTTTGCATTTTGAAGTCATCCCTCTACCACTGCCATTTATTTAATGAATACTCTTGGGCACTCTAACCTGAAAGATTGTTCATTAGATTTGTGCATCTGGCTCTATCAGCAATCTGCTGTACTTCTTACGTAGGCTTAAAACAGCAATGGAAATATAATTTTCAGATGAATTAAAGTTAACTAGTCTCCCAGCGAGTCAAACAAGTGACTTTTATGGTGTATAAAAATGCTGATGTTCTAATAAACTATAAAAAGGAGTAATGGAGAGATGATGAGATAGACATAGGGCCATCTGTAATAGGAGACAAAGGCTGCAGAAGAAAAGACTCTAGCATCAATACTGGGGAGACTGTGGTAGGACAGTGGAGAAAACTGATGTTCAGAAAGAAGTTCTAAGGTAAAACTAGACAGTATCCACTTGTGTGCCCAAATCATAATATTTTCCATTTTCAAAAACAAGAATTTTTCAACAGTGAAGAAAAATGTGCATGAAGAGAAATACTGGGTGACAAAGTACTTCAGCACCTTTCTTAATGAAATACGTGTATAAGATATTACCATCTGACATACAGCTCTCAAATGCTACTATGCAGCCAAATGACTGTCACAAGATTGAGGACCAATCCATCTACTAAATGGTGTGAACTTATGACCTGCTAGTTAAAATCTGACACTTCAACAAGATTCTCCATAGCCATATTTTCTGTAGAAGAAAACTGCTTTCATTGGGAAAACTGAATGCTATAAAATTGTATTTAAATCCTGAGTCACAAGCTCATCATTGGTAGATAAAAGCAAATAGTTACAGTGAGCAGGTACAATGGTATTTGTATTCAAAGGCTTGGAATATCTCCTTCACTGAATTTCAGAGGTCTCCAGATTTTGCAACCAAAACATTGTTTGAATCCCTTACCCTCTAATAAGCTGCAATTTTGGGGCAAGGTTTTCTCATGTTGGATACTGTACATATATTACATATGTTTACGTTTAAATAGCCTAGATGGCTCAGAAGAACATGGAAGACAGATGGACTCCTTGGCACACGTAGCTGAAAGATCTGAATGAACTAAGGGTTTTGTTTCTGCTGCTAGGTAGGGTGAGGTCTACAATTTTGTTAAGCACTGACAATGTGTTCATCCCTATACTGGAGACAGACACAGGACAATCCTTCCATGAGGAAGACATGCTTGAGGGACATGCCTCAGTTTTGTCAGCAGAAAGCTGGACCCTTGCAACAGCCACCACTAATGGCAAGTTCATTTCTAAAGAGACAAGATTTTCATTAGCTAATAATTTGTGAGCTTGCAATCAGCTTGCAAAAACTTTCTTCTAGAAACTGTGTGCTATTTCTGATATAGATGGCTTTGAGGTACAATTTAAGAAACAGGCTGAACACATTCCCAACTTCAAAAAAATCCATGAGAGCCGACAGCTGGTTAACATGACATTTTAGAGCGTTTTCTAAAGCACCAAAACTTTGAAGCTTCTTGGTTGATTTTAGCATTCGATCAATAGACCTACCAATAAGGTGAAACTGTGTTCAGGCAGAATTCCATACTGTTCAACAAGCCTCGCTCTCTTCACACTGGGGAGGTCAGGAAGCCTCTCTTGAATCCAATCGATATTTACCACTTGCTGATCGTCTATATTAGCAGGCAAAGATTTAGCATCATACAAAATCAATGGAGGAAGGTTTGGCTCTGGCATGAACCTGGCAAAAATGAAGAAAGACTTCTTTGGAGTTATTTTTAGTGAGGGTGATCCTCAGCATCTCAACAACAAAGCTGTAAATTTTATGTGAGAACATTTATGTTCCTCTGGAAATAATCTTACTAGATTTAACTGAACAATATATTGAAAATTCACAACCTGGTGCATTAGCGTGGAGTAGGAAAAGATCAGTTCCCCTGCTTTTTCAGAGCCACTATTTTCTCTCTCCAATTTCCTGCCACTGCTTGTCAAAAGAATCAGCAATAGAAAAAGGTAAATTTAAAACATTTTAGACTCGAAATAAATAAAACATGGAGGTAACCCATCCCTCTTGATGCTGAGCAGGCATTGTGAATTTGACTGGCAAGGGGGTGCTGGCTGGCAGGGAGAGAAATGGATTGACAGCCAGATGCCAGGGGCATTTCGTGCAGGTTGTAACCTCTCTCATATTAACCTGAGAAGTGTAGATGAAACCTCATGCTGAGTTAAAAGCAAAGTTACCATGCTCAGCAGGATGCCATAGTAAATAAAACTGAGTGACATCAAAGAACAAAGGCTCTCTTTAAAAAGGAGGCTAATTCAAGCCAGAAGAGTACTGCAATTGAAGCAGCAAACCTCACTTTTGCATGAACAAATGATGGATTCATTGAGGACAAAATATAAAAACGTTTGGATTTCTCCCTTGTACACAGTTGGGACACTCTCAGAGAGCAGACTGCAATTAAAAGAAGAGACTGTGGTATATAGGATAGGTTTAAGTTCAGCCTTTGTTGGACAGAAATAAGTTCACAATATAGTTGAAAAATACATCTTAAAACCTAACATCACAAGCTATTTGTATTTGAAATAGCTTAGATACTCTTCCTGCCTGCATCTGCCTGAATATTTTCTTTTATCTTTTACCCAAATGAGCCATTTTAAAAAGGAGCCAGGCCTGACACTAATCTATTAGGGAATTAATTCATGGAATGGGCATAATCTTTTCTTTTAATGCCCAGGCATTTAGAAATACAGGTTAAGCAGGCTATCATATTAGCCCTTGGTTAGCCTAGAACTAGCTGTCAAAAACTGAAAAATCCATCCTGCCCTAAGCACAGAGTGCTTTTCTACAAATGTGAGTCTGAATACAGGTATTTATAATATTAGGGGAGGGATTTTTAAAAGTGCTAACTCTGTTTCCATTGAAGTCCATAGTAAAATATCCATAGCCTTAATGGGACAGAGAAAGTGCTGAGTGCTTCTGAAAATCCCTTATAAATATCTACCTAAAGTAGCTAACCTTTTCAGATAATGCCTGTTATCACGAGTTCTAGGCACTGAAATGAAGGCCCCCCACTCTGCAAACGTGTAGTTTTCTACAACACATGTTGGAAGTGGAAGTGATTTTTGACTCTGAGCATCCAAATCATCATATCAGAGGGCCACAGCACAATGAGTTTGTAGCATATGCACTGAACCCACACGTTATCCAACAAAAGTTTCTGGTAAATCTCCTATTGGCTTCAGCAAGGCAGATACCCAAATCTGAACAGCTGTGAATGGGGCCTGATTTTTAGAAGAAGCAAATGTCCTCGACTCTGAAATCAATGGTATTTGAAAGCATTCAAGAAATGAGCTAAGCTCTCAGTTCTTGAATAAAAGTTAAATTAAAAAAATGAATATGTATTACCGATAATCCTGTTTTCCTTCTTTGTCTCTCATTGGTATCGTGCACCTAAAACAAGACAACGTAGGTAACATATAACACATGACAGAAGTTACCCTTTGTTTAGAAACACTTGTGCCATTACATAGTGAGTTTTATGGCAAAAACTTCACACCATGCAGACTGAGAAAGTTTCGTTAAGTCAGTTTAACGCAGTCTTACTAGGAGGTTTGATTTAATTCTACCTTCACGCTGAACAAAGTAAAATTTTTCACTACAATATTTCATTATTGCAAAAATTTACCTGTGTGCTGTCTGACAGCCTGATTATATAGCAATAAAAAGTAACAAGTCCAGCTGGACTCCAATGAAAGTTTTGTCCAAGTAACAAGTGCAGGATGCAGATGAATGTAAAAATGTCAATAGTTAGCCGCATCCAAGACAGCAGTATACATTCACATGGGAAGATGAAGTCTAGTGTTTAGGAGACCTAGCTCCTTTCGCCTGTTCTGAAAAACAGTTGTGTGTGACCCATACCCCTCTATGTCTCCTGTTCTTAGCCTACTTAATCTATTTTGATTGAAAACTCTTCAGAACAGACATTGTGCCTGGTTCAACTGGCCTCACTGGAGGGCTGCAGGAAGTATTCCAATACAAATAATTCCCGTGGTGGACTATTACCATGAATGGTAACCTTAAAAAGAATGAAGTTGACCGAAGTGAGAGAAGATGCCATCTCCAGTGATCATCCCACCAGGGAGCATGAGATCTGCAAGAGAAGGCTGAGAGGTGATCTTGTGGCCACCTACAAATTCATTAGGGGGCCACAACAAAGGATTGGAAATGCTCTGTTCACCAGGGCACCTCTTGGAGTAACAAGGAACAATGATCACAAACTGGCAGAGCAGATTTAGGCTTGATATCAGGAAAAACTTCTTCATGGTAAGGGTGGCCAAAATTTGGAATGGACTTGGAAGGGAGGTGGTGCTTCCCTGTACCTTGGGGGTCTTTAAGAGAAGGCTGGATAGGCATTCTGGACTGGGGTCATCTGAAGAGACTGCGGTATATAGGATAGGTTTAATCTGACCCCAGCCCTCTTTCCTGCCCAGGGCAGGGGGTTGGACTCGATAATCTGTTGAGATCCCTTCCGACCCTAGCATTTATGAATCCTTAAAGAACTGTTACTTGACAACATCTTTCTAAAGCAGGAACTCACCCAAGTTTATAATCAAATGCTCTTGTTTCATTCAGAATTGTTCCTCCATTTTCAAGCTCTTCAATTTGTCTCTGTATTTCGTAGTCTGACCAAAATAAATTAATAAATAAAAATCAGTTGAGTTGCACTGTATCCTTACCTTTTATAAAAATAGACTATTAGATTTATCACTGTCAAACCATAATGGAAAAGATTATTAATTTAACCTAATGAAATCCCAATGGAAGTCACTGGGCACAGAATCATTGGTCAAATCACTCTCTCAGTTTTGTGCATATTATACCGTAGTTTGTGGGGGAGTTCTATTATTGAGTGTCTTTCATTTTTTACACCTGCCAACATTAGGCACTGACTGCAACCTGACTTTACATGCCAAGTGGTCTGTCCATTCCTGTATCAGAGATCTGGGGTAGGGCTGAGCCGAGGGTTCTCATCTATTCCCCACCTTTTTCTGAAGGCAAATTTTAGCTTTCCTGCCCATGTGCATACCGTAGCTACAGTCCCTCTGTATTTCAAACACGTCATGCCCCAGGGAAAGCAATCAACTTCATCTCAGGACAGGGAGCTTGTATACTGCTAGAATGTATCAGAGCAAAGAATGCTAAGCATTGAATCATCCACTCTGTTCTCCTACAAGACAGAAGGGCACCTCTAAAATAAAACTGCAAGCCAGAAAGTCTGATTTACCTAGAGTGGCTGTACTGAAAGCTTACACTTATTGATGCTTTACTTGTTTTATTACCTAGATAAAAATACCACCGATATTTCAATAATGGAGATAATATTTACCTACTGCTCTTGCCAGGAATCGTAAACTATTGATATTCTTCACTTCAGTCCTCACTCCATAAGGCTCTCCTGGATGACGCACAGATACATTGGCATCTACTCTTAGTTGACCCTCTGAAGAAGGAAACATCATCAATAGAGTACTCTTCCCCATGAACTGGAGCAAAGATAGCCTGTGGTAAATAAGCTGCACACAGCAGGCAGGGTGTTTAGCCTGGACTTTTATCAAGAAATCTGAGTCAGGAAAAATCAGCTCTCTTAAGAGTTTCTTGTTCAAACCTCTCTCTTCAGGCACAGTGAAGTTACTGAGAATATTACCTTTTGGAATGGAACTGCTCAGGAACTCTGTCAAAGAGAACTACATAGAGCAAATGCACTGAATGTTTTCAATGCCATATTCTAGGAGACAGCTTTGGGGATTTGTCCCTTAAAAATGATAGAACTAAGTCAAATCACCTTAAAAGACAAACAATTAAAAAAAAAGGCAAATTGCAAAATTCCAGGTCTGTTTTCCTTCTTTTGAAACTATGCACACATTCCAGAATTACAAGATCTACACTGCCTTAGCATGGAACAAGAGAGTGAAGCTGGGTAGTTACCAAAGTGCCGTTGGGATTTTATAGTTCAAGGACAAATGTCAGAAACTTGTTTTTTTCCTTCCTCAAGGAACTGTAATCTTTTCCTCAAATAAGATTCTGAATGCTTCCTCCTGGCTGCCAAAAACATAAAATTATGGAGAGGGCAAACCTGCATTAAGTTCAAGGGTAGACAAGAAGCCCCAGGAGGTCGTTTCTGGCCCCATAATTCTGTGTTTACGAGGCTCCTCCAAGACATTTAAACAGAGACGTGGTCGTGATAGTCAAATTGGGGAGAATGGCAAGAAAAACATAGGCATACATCTTTTACCTGGTAAGCTCATGTAAGTCTCCCCACACCTCATAGACTGACTTCTTTATCTGTACTTTAATTAATATACTATAAAACAAAGCAAATATTTGCTGTTTACCCAACAGCCCTACTGAAAAAAAAAGTAAACAGCCCAGTGTAAAATCTGCGGAGGTCTAAAGCTTTAAAGCCCATTCAGGGCAGCAGATGTAAATTTGCTGAAGTGGACTTTGCCCACTCAGTAAAAGTTGAATGGATGTCAGCTCATTAATCTTCTCAGTCTTTCTGGCTACTTGCCAAACAGGCAAATGGAGGTGGAAGATGAGAGAGAAACTCCATCCTTCTTTTAAAGAGACTTTTCACAGTGGATCATACTTTGGGGTGCGAAGAAGAATATATGCCCCAAAAGAAACGGATGCAAACAGTATTCTTCTGTCTTCACTTCACTGCTATTGAAGATTCTACTCTCACATTTGGGTTAGAAGACAATAAGGTTAACCAGGCATGAGTGAAAGTAAAATAGGCCCTATGTGGGGGTGTTTTTTTTTTTAAGGCGTTTCTCCTGTTTGATCCTTGGGCTCTCCAGCAGCTTGTTGCTATTGAAGTGACAGATGATAAAATCAGTGTTTGTCATGACTGCACACACAAACAGAAGGAAGATAAAAATGTGAAGGAACAAACCCTCATTTAAACACAAGTAACTTTGGTAAGGGAAAAGCACAGTAAAAACACCATCCTAAACACCACAGAAAAAAAATGAATTTAATATTTAACATGTTGGGAAAAGAAAAATACTGCAAGTATGAAAGCCCCCCTTTAAAAAGACAAAGCCAAAAGTAGTGTGAGAAACAGTGCAATTTCACTAAAGGTATCAAAGCCAAGTAACCCCAATCAGGATAAACACTTCAGTGTGCTAGGTGCTGTGCTAAAACACAAGATACGTGCCCCAAAGAGCTTGATAGCTAATTCCCCACTATATTAAATTAGGCCCGAATCATTCATCACCCAACATTCTCAATGTCACATTCATTTTCACCCTGGGTAGGTGCAATGGCCAGCCCTCCCACCTTACCCCACAGGCTGAGTTAGATGCCAGATCATTGCAAGTAGCACCAGTTCACTGTTTGTAATGAACAAAATACTTAGCTGATACCATCATTTCGCTACCTCTGGGTTTGGCTCAAATACTTCACTTTGCAACAAACAGTTGCTACAAGTTTGTGAACCATGGTTCCATTCAAGCAAGATGAGCAGCAAGGGAAAACACACAACAACTGATATTCCACCCTGCACAGGCTGATCTTGCAAAATTGATGTGAGGCAGTATAAAAATTCAACATAAAATGCTGGGCCCATAAGGACCCCTGAGCATGGTAGAGCTTAAGAAAACAGCATCAAGAAAAGGCTAAAAGTTAAGCAGCTAGAGAGCAAAATATCCAAAAGACATACCCAAAAGACATGAAAATCCCTCTGCAAACACAAAGAAGTACAAACGGGGCGGTAGGGGTGGGGGGGCGGGGAATGAAAAGTGCCCTGCACCCCTTTTGTACCTGCCATGATTGCCTGGCTGCTCCCAAGTGTTTGAAGAATAAGCTGAAGCTCTCTGACTGCTGCAGCTGCCTCTTCCCCACAGCACATATCAGGCTCCATGACAACTTCCATGAGGCCAACTCCTAGCAGAGAAAGACACGAGATTTCCAACAATAGCTTTTGATCTTGGCATATTACAGTGCAGCTAGCTAAACACATGAAAGTGCTTGGGCTTTGTCTGAGAAACTGGAAACCATGTATTATTAAATACCTGTCAAAATGGGTCTACTTGAAGAACAGTTACACATGCTTTTCTTTAATTTTTGAGAATGAAAATTTTTGAGCGCGAGAGAGCACGCGAGACCGAATGCGAGAGCAAACAAGCACGCACGAGCCAAAGAAAGAAAGTGCGCGTGCAAAAGAAAGCATGGGAGAGCGAGTGAGAGAGTGAGCAACTGAAAGGACAAAGGAACAGATGGAAAAATATATTCCCTCTTTCCTGTCAGAAAGCAACTTTGCAAAGTCTTTGAGATTTATTTTACTCTAATTGTATTGTTTTGCATTAAGCTGGGGCACACAGAATCAAGTAAGTGAAAGCCCTTGCAGTTTCTAGAGTTTTTCAGGATAAAGGCATCTGAACACTTTCATATTTGGGTGCATGAAGACTGGTACAGGGTCCAGAGTCCAGGTCCTAAGTGTCCTGAGTTTCCAAGATGCCAAACACTCACAGCACTCAACTTCAGTGGGAGCTGGGGCAGCACAGCATTTCAGGAAGTCAGGCCACGTCTTTAAGTACTTGGCTTTGCATTCAGGATTGTGTCTATAAATTATGTGAATACGCAAGTTTTAGGGCTCTATAGAGAGAATTATTTTTAAAATGCAGGAGGCAAGGATTTTTGTAGGCGATCTCTTTTATTGGACCAACTGCAAGGTTGGGATAGACAAAGATAAGCTTTTGAATGCAGTGTGAAGATGACTCAGAGAAGAATGCACTACATTCAAAAGCTTATCTAAGTCTACCTCAAGCATGTAGTTCAGGGGTGGGCAAAATGTGGCCCGCAGGCCAGATGCAGCCCACCAGGCTATTCTATCTGGCCTGAGGGGCTCCTAAAAAATTTACAAAATTAATATTAATCTGCCCTGGGCTGCCTGTTATGCGGCCCTCGATGTCTTGCCTAAACTCAGTAAGCGGCCCTCCACCCAAAATAATTGCCTGTCCTGATGTAGTTGGTCCAATAAAGAAAGATACTGCCCACAAAAGTCCTTGCCTCTCACCTATTTCCTGGACCATTATGGCTACAGCACTGCTCCAACACTACCCAAAAATTAAAATGTATTTTTAACTCAAGCGCTGCCCTATCACCTGAACTCTCTGTGCAGCGCATGATCTTGCTTCCTGCAATGGTGTTTATCTTTTGGTTTGATTGCTTTTTTAGAACAATCCTTATAGCGCAAGAGCTCAAAGCACCTCTTCTGGCCTCTTGAACATCTTCTGATGAAGGGTTATCTTCAAGTTGGCTGGTTTTGAGAAATCAGAGCCACTGGCCTCCTGACCTGCTACTGCCACAATGCTATCAGAAAACAGCACAAGAATAAACAACCATTAGCTACCTGAGAAATTCAAGCATGTTTTCCCTTTCAAAATTTAACACAAACTTTTGAATTTGTTTATTCGAGGGGAGAAAATACAGAGGAGAGAAGGAACATGATTCAAAACCTACCAGCCCTGTTCAAGTCAATGAAAGTCTGGCTCCTTGCATCATTGTGAAGGCTCTTCCCACTGTCTTGTTCCAACTGAATCTGCTTGATCCTCACATTCTTTGTTACCATCTGGCTTTGTTTTGCCCCTACATAGAGGGTGTATGACAGATTCCCATTCACAGCAATAGGAAGTCTTTGTTGAGTAATTTGGTAGCCAGCCTGCATGCAGAAATAGCTTTTAGACTCAAAGAATATTCACTGTACATGAACAAAAAGTTTAAACTTTGTCCAACGATGGTCTGATCTCTTACTCTCCTGACACTCTTGACTGCCCCACACCTGGCCAGGATTCACACCCTCTATTCTGGTCAAAACCCTATTGATTTGTGGGGGGGAGGAAGGGGTGGGCAAGAAAACTGGAACAGCTTGATTTCTGCTAACATCACTATTTGATCCATCAGGGTCAAAGAGGCAGTGGGTTTATGATGAAGGTTAGTGGGTCCCTCCTGCCACCAGCAAAGCATGTCACTACTTAGTGTCAGTCAGAATTTTAAGTTTCTTGATTTTCACCAAAAATCAGCAAGGTTCTGTTCAGACTGGGGAGAAGCAAGGCATGGAATGAAGGGGACTGGACCTACCTGGGTGAACAGGTCAGTCTGTAAGCAATGGAGTGCATTACTCTAATGATAACCATTGTAATAAGTAACTAGATGGGACAGACTCAGTAAAATCCTTCCACATAGCTTTTCTTACCACCCCCCCCCAGCTTCTCATTAAAATTATTTTTAAAAGCCTCAAATGGTGAGTGACAATAAATAACAAGAATCCCATTTCCTGTCCAAAACCCCATTTGCAGGAGTAACAATAATCCCATTGTCAAACGACCCTAAGAACAGGATTTATTTAATCTATTCCATTCAGCTCATTAGCCTAAACTCTGCATCTTATTACAGGGTTTCTGGCTAGCCTGTTTCATTATGAAATGGAGGCCAGGCATTTTATAGTCAATGCTCAACACCATAGATGCCAGCCACAAGAAATCCAGAGTTGTATGTGTTTAATGCTAATAAAATGTGTCACCATCTCCTTGACCCAAATTTCCCTGTTTATCTGACCAGAGGATGCTGTAATAAAAGCCATTAGGAAGCACTAGCAGCGTCTGCAGATGCATCTTCCCTTCACACACACTTTCTAAATAGATGGATTACTTTCTGCCTGGCCTCATTCTTGTATTTGTTTTTATTTTTCTAAATGAGATGGCTTGGTAGAGATGTTGCCACCAGAAAATCTCTAGCCTTTTTAATATAGGGGCTGAGCCACTTAACATAAATGTGACATGCAAATCGACTTTGTTGGTGCTCCTTTAGGATAAAAAAGAAAAGTCTGAAAGCTGGGGTTTTGTTGCTGTTTTTATTCTCTCCTGCTTATTGTTTACAAACTCAGGGCTTGTCAACATTTTCTGAAACTAAAAACTACTGATAACTCTAGAACTGGTAAAAAAAATAATTATATCCTATTTCTCAAAAAATTCATTTGGCCCCTACTGCCACAGTAACTTGGTGGCTCCCAAAAATTAAAAAAAAATATCCTGAAAAGAAACCTTCAAGTAATGTTGGTAAATATTATGCCTATTTCAGAGCCAGGAAACAAAGGACCAGACAGACAGAGAGTGGTTTGCTCAAGGTCACACAAGAAATATGAAGCAGAAATGAATACTGAACTCAAATTTCCAGTATATCAGCCACAATATCGTATATCTTCTAGGGATGTTAAAACTGACAAAACGAGAGGTTTATAGTGGTTTGGTTCAAAATGTGTTCTACATTAAAAAAACCAACAAAAAACAACAACCCAGAAGTGCCTGAATAAGCAGCTACTAATGTGATACCACCCATCCATTGACCCAAGACCTGAGGAAATCCCACTCTGATACTCTGGATCTCCAAGGACTCCTCCAGCAAAAACAGGAATGTCTGACTATTCTAAGATAACATAAAAGTAGAACAAAACCTTTTCAATACAACATTACAGTCTTCTTCATCCCAAAATAACAGAGCAGCAAATGCACTGTTTCTCCCTTTGCAGGTCACTATTAAGTCTAACAAAATCCAGCATAAACATGTGGAGAAATAAAACAACTTTTTCAGGTTAGAGCTGTGACTTAATTAACAGAGAAATAAGAAACATAAATTCTTATGTTCTGCTAAAACAATAAAACCAGACTCTTAACTAATTTCAACCTTCTTACTGCATTTTGTCAAGCGCAGTGAAGTGAAGCTTATTTCCAAAGAGAGTTTATTCCAAGCATAAAAGCAATCCACAAAAACACAAACTTAAAATGCAAAGGTTCATTTACTAGCTATTCAAGATCGTGGCAAAGATTACTAGGTTTGCAAAGAGAATAAGATAATTTTTAGATTCTTAAATTTAATAGCAAAAGAAAAGATGCTTTGATGTTTATCCTATTGTAATAGGAGTTTGCTATACATTCATTTTAAATGAACGGCTATTATCAGACTGTTTGCACTTACCGTAACAGACAATTAGCACTAAACACTAGGAAGGGAGAAAGTATGGGGCCTAGCAGCACCATCTCCCAATTCAATTACAAGAAGCCACTGGAATCGTGATGCTAAGCAAGGAGTCAGCAATCAAGGCAATCATATTCAATCAGTGAGTACCAAAGTACAGCTGCCTTTTGATCAGGGCACAGTGCAGCATCCTGTTGGGTTGGACCAAACACTGACTGAAAACAAAAACCATCTCTTCACTCATCCCCTACCTGCTGTCTCTGCTCCAGGCCTGTTCTTTTTCTACAGCTGTGGAGAGACCAACCATAATACATACTTACAGGCAGATCTGCATAGAAATAGTGTTTCCTGTCAAACAAGGACTTCTTGTTTATGCTGCAGCTGAGTGCCAGGCCTGTCATCACGGCTGCTTCTACACATCTCCTGTTGAGAACCTGAAAAAACATGACACATGATTTTGCTCAGATACTTGCTATGAAACAAATGCTTCTCCCACATGTTACCTTATACAAAGTATATATTCAATTTTGCTTGCCTTCAGCAGGCATTATCTCTCTTCTCTTGTGCAGGAACTCATATCCATCACCAGACTGGCAGTAGCTACAAATCTGCAATGTTTGAGATGAAAAATAAAGCCATTCAACTGCTTTTGTTAAAAGTATAACATTAAGATTGCTGGCTTTTCAAATATCCTTAGTACACCTCCATTTCTACATTGCTAAAAAATTAAAAGCCAGTCAGAGTAATTGAAAATAGAGGTGCTGGTCAACAGATTTGACACCTAATGCTGGGTGCTCAAGAAATGATCCAAGTTACAGACCAGGGTCCCTTTGAAGAACACATGTGACTCCACTGACTTGAATAGGATTTATAGAATCTACAGATTCTTTAGAAGTATCATCTCTCCATCTCTTCACCCCAAGACACGATTAACTGTACTTAACTTAAACCATTCCTGTATAAATTGCTATTAAACACCTCCAACAAGCGTAATTTTCATCCTTTCCCTGGATGAGGTACCCTAGCGCTTAGCTATCCTTACAATTACAAAGGTTTTTCCCAGGTACACAACATAAAACTCCTTTGTTGCAATTTAAGCCTGTACTTCTTGTTCTAGCCACAGTAAACATAGAGAACAGCTTATAACCTTCATCTTTACTGCAACATTTTATGCATTTGAAAACTATTTTATCCATCATGGTCTTTTCTTTTCTAAACTAAACAATGCCAGCTCTTACAATTTTCTCACCGATTCTGATTTCTACACTTCTGAACATTTTAGTTGCACTTGTCTAGGTTCTCCCCAGTTCACATTTTTCTTGAAACAGTATGACCAGATTTAAATGCTCTTTTAAATATGAATGAACTGAAACACAAATGTACACACTTCGCTGAACTGGGACCTGAACGATCCCATGCATGTGTCTGTGTGTAACCACCTGTGGACTTTATAAACCATTTTGGAAAATTTCAAATCAGGACTCAGTCCCACAAAATGGTGCGTGATTGATCATCAAGCCCTCACAAGAGTCTGACATAAATTAAGGTAAATATGAGTAAATTGGGATTTTTGTTGGAGATACTCAAAACATACCCTACCAAACCTAAAAATATGCTGGTATGACTGCTCCCAGGTTGACCTAGACAGCCAATCTTAAGCATGCTGATGTGTCATTGATTGACTTCACTGACATATTCCAAGGTTTGGAGCAGGCAAAAGCAGCAACCTTGAGCACGTCTGCATGGGGTCATGCTACCATGATGTTGTATGCATATCCTGTGCCTCACTGGAGATGGTCCATTTACTGCTGCAGCATTCTACCTCAAATAAGCCCCCATGGTCCTGAAGAGTACAGAGAAAATTTGGTTCCTACTTCAAAATACCAGAAATCAGAGTTTTTCAAAGCTGTTTTAAAATAATTCTATTTTAAAAATCTGTTCCGGTTAATTTAACACTTTGTTTAACTAATTTAAAAGCTGGTTTGAGGTGATTAAATTCTCAGGGCTTTGAAATAGGAACAGAACTGTCTCAGTCCAATCAATTCTGCTTTCTGAAGCTGTCAAAGAGATGGTGTCTAGTATGGCTGACAAAGGGACACTGTCAAGATGAAATCAGGTACTGAATTCCCCTTATTCAGATTACAAAGAACATCACAGGTAAAAAAAAAAACCAAAAAACCTGAAGGAGCTTTTAAAATCTTTTTTTCTCCCCTTTTTTCTATTTACCAATTTATCAGCTTATCTTATTTTTCTTCTGTTTGTTTCTTGTCAATTTCACTTTCTGGTTATTTATCCATTGCAGTCTCAGTACAACAAGTAAGGAAGATGTTTTTAAAGCACCATCAATATAATTTGAGGGGTTTTTTTATTTTGTTATTTTGTTGAAACTTCAAGGAAAACATTTCTAAGGGTCCCAGGTTTCCCAAAAGATTTTTTTACAAAAGCTAAACACCAACTTAACTCTGAACAAACACTGTCCTTCAAAAAAAATTGCAAGAATAAGAGTAAGTCATAAAATACTATATTTTATTTACTTATGTATTTTTAAATGCATTTACAAAGACCTGATAGATTGGCCTTTGGGTGGTTCCATTAGCAATTAAGAAATATAATTACATTATGAGAGGAAACAAAACCTTGAGAAACCAGAAAAAGAACCCCTCCTCTGTCAAGACAAGAACAAAATGAATTAAACATGTAAGGCATTTAACCAACTCCTATTAGACCTTTAGCATAGCTGCACACGATTAGTTAGAACACACTGTTGGGTCTTCTTTTATTCAGTAAAGATTTGAGAAAACAAAAGCCAAGTAAAAAAGGGATAAGATAACGATTAAGAATAATTTCCAGTTTGAAATGTTGACCATAGCAAAATGAACCTAATTAGCCCCAACTGCAGACCAGAATGAAATATGCTGGATAATGTTGAAGTAATAATCTATTTTAGCATTGTAGCTATTAGTTTCTTATATAGCAGATGTTTCTATTTTCAGCAATTAGTGTTTTATATTCCAGACAGGAGAGAGTCATTTATTATTGCAATGGGAAGTTAGTCTCTTACCACAGTGTTAGTCTGAAATGTTAAAACAAGGACTCTCAAAACATTTCAAGTTTCACAGGTAGCTTCTCTCTCCTCCAGAGCCTCACCTTTATCTGACAGGATGGTGTCATAAAGAGATCTTACAAGCAGGGCTGTACAGGTAAATATTTCAATAGGA